CGTACTCTGTGTCGCACAATAAACTGCCCAGCGACGGACTGTTTTGTACGCAACACCAATGGATTAAATTCCCTTTCTTCATCTCTGATCTGGCCTTTTCTTTTGTTTGTTTGTTTTTTTGCCAAAAGGCAAGCAATCTCTTCCTCCTCCGTTGATGCCATGACTGAAATGGTGAGAAATGAAAGAATTTGTCACAAACTAATTAAACTCGGGTCCAGCGTGGCTGCGGGAGGGTCTGGAGATTTCCTGGTGGGCTGGTCTGATGTGTGGACTGCAGGACCATTGCTCTCTGTTTTTTTATGTTTTAGATCTTTTTATTAACAACATATAAACACAGAACACCGCTGCAGCTGAGGCTGCCAGCACTCGTTTTTTTTTTTTCCGACCTGTCAAATCAATCCAGTAGGCTTGTCAGCAAATGACCAATCGGTGACCTCAATTTGTCCCGAAGGTAAACGCTCCTTGTCTGTGGAGCTGCTCTGCAGCTGCTCAGGGTGGACGCTCGAGTATGAAGTCAGAACCCTCTGTGTACAGTACGCACGTACGTACGTGTGTATGGACGTACGCGGGAGTATACTGGGGGCTTTATGCTCTATTCTTCCCTCACTCGTGAACAAAACCCAAAGATACTTGAACTCCTCCACCTGAGGCAGAACTTCACCCTCAACCTAGAGAGCAATCTACCTTTTTTCCGACTGAGGACCATGGCCTCAGATTTGGAGGTGCTGATTCTCATCCCAGCCACTTCACACTCGGCTGCAAACCACTTCATTTAGAGCTGAAGATCACGGCACGCTGATGCCAACAGCACCACATCATCTGCAAATAGCAGAGATGGAATCCTGAGACCACCGAACCGGACTCCCTCCCCGCTTTTTTTTATTTTCAGTGAATTACACAATAGGCAGGCTTGTGTGATGCTGAATGTTGATCAGAGGAGTTTGGCCTGGTGAGAGCTGCTGAAAGCCTAAAAAGCTCTGTCCTCGCTGCTCTCTGCCTCTGTCTCTCTGTCCACAGGCCTGCTATTGTTTTGCTCCATGCCTCAGCTTGACAGGACTCCAGAAGCTAGCCATTGTATTTAATTACAGGTCGTTGGCCCCCTCACAGACTCTTGTCCTTGTGTCCTAGATTTCCACGGGTGCTCTCATTAAGAGAGTGTGCATTCTGTGTATTTGTGTTTTTTTTTTGTTAATGGCTGTGTGAAAGCCTATAGCCGACATCTAGATCTTGGCTTAAAGGCCATTTTTATTTGTTTGGTTGGGTAGTGTGTTTGTTTTTTCTTTTTTTATATAAAATGTTATCACAAAGAGCTCTACAATCATTCATATCACACAGAAAAGTGAGGAGAACTGAATGGATTTTTGCTAATGAGAAAATGTGCCATGTTATGTAAGGGCAGCCCTGTTTAGGCTTAATTTGTTTGACATGAGTGTAGTGACTGCATCGCCCAGTAGCATGGGCAACAATGGATCATAATGACACCGACATAGTGGCGATAAGCAGCAAATCTTCCCACCCGTATCCACAATGTGCACACTTTCTCGGGTTTGCTACGAATGAATCCTCAATTGTGCAAAATCAACTTTTATTTTCCGCCTAGAAAAATAAACTTCTTATTTGACTTGATTAATTTCAAACTCACACATTCTACATAAATATGCTCTTGAAATATTAAGGAAGTTTGTCAGTGTTTTTTTATTCCTAAAGCAAAATTTGTCAGACATTGTTGACTGTTTTGCTTAGGGCCTGCTGCACCTTTCATTTAAAACACCCCCCAATGGGTTTTGTAGATGCAAAAAATGACAAAAGATGTTTAGAGGTTCTTAGTAACATGTCTGTAATGTACCTTCTTAAAATAAGGCTAACCCAAATGCTGGTTACACAAGCTTTAAAGTATAGATTAACATTGTCAGATACTAGAAACCCACATTGGGAACAAGCTGTTTACTGACCTAATTTGGTACACAATAATTATGGTTTTATTTTGTTTCAGGAAGCTTTGAATTACAGTCGCATTAGCCGTTTTTTTTTTCTGTAAGTTATTAGCAGAGACTTGCACAAAACACACACACAAAAAGTAAAATTTACTTTTGTGTTCTTAAGGGTAAAACACTTCATTATTGCTTATTTGTGTTAGGTGTGCAGACCAAGTGCTACTGAAGATTTAACGAGTCTCCGTTCTGTCATAAAAGGACTGTTTAACCATACAATAAACTTTCCCTGTGAAAAACTCAGTGACTAATGTTGGATGTGAATCATGACATTGTTTAGAAATGAACAGAAGTGGCATAAAAACATTGATTTATCTTAGTTTATATGGGTTTTAGTCTTTGTAGCAGTAGGCATGAATTGCCAAGTTAATTTAAACATGCCTAACAGAAGTATTTGATGCCTGTTGCTCACCACATGCACAAAGGTAGACGGTCCTCACCCTAGTTGGACATGGATTTCTAACATAAGATGTAAGACCAAGTATTAATTGAGGAAATGCATATCGCCCACTGCCTTTCATGCCAGTGTTTTAAGCTAAAATCATCTTGTGATAGAAAACCTTGAAGATAATGTTATGTGCAATATTGTGCAATACTGCAAGACTCAGTAGGAGTTTTGAACTCCCAGCTACAACATCAGAGTTTAGTTCAGTGTCTGTAAAACTGACCGTGTTCTAGATATTCTTGTGTTAGCGAGGCCTGTCACGATAAACAATAAATCAGTTAATTGCATGATGAATGAAAATTATCAACCTCATTTTCATTTATCGGCTTTATCGTTTCTTCGTCTCTCTCTTTCTACTGAAGACACTGGATGACAAAAGGCTAAACTCCGGTGCTCTTCACTGACCCTTTCTCTTTTCTCTTTAAAATCTGTGTTAACCGTCCAAGATTGTGCTTTTGGATCGTTAAAAGCAGCTAAGCTATGAGCTAAGCTAAAAGGCCGACCTCGGGAATAAACCTCCATCTTGTCAAGCTCCAAAATTCACGGTTGAAACCCATGCCTTCGTGTAAAAAGTAGTTTTTTTTTCTGCAAAAAGAAGCTGAGAACTTGTTTACTGATTTTTTTTTTATTAAAAGCTTTGTGTGAAAAATGCTATGCTAAAGAGCTCAAATCACCGAATGTCTGCCATGTCACCATGGCAGCCCATGTCACATCAAGGGCCCTCCTTCCCATTTTTCTTAAAGAGACAACTGCTCAACTATCCATCCTTTGGTTCAAACAGTCTTATACTGCCATCAGGTGGTCAAAAAAGGTGCTACACTCCAAACAAATCAACATTTCTTCTAAAATTTGACAATTAATTATAGTTAAATTTCAATTAATATTTTCGTTTATCGCAATAATTTCTGAGGCAATTCATCGCCCAGCAAAATTTGCTATTGTGACAGGCCTAGTGTTAGCTAAAGTTAATTTGTTGTGGCAGCCATCTTCAGTTGGATTTACTCCCAAAGTTAATCAATTGTGGATGTACGTTTAATTAATACATTCTGGGAGTGGCATTAAAACTCATCGAGTGGTTTATGAAATAGTTTGCTGACAGATAAGGAGGATTGATTCAAACAGCTAAAGCCAGAATTGTATTCAAAGATCACATGCAATGACTAGAACCTGGAGTAATGTTTTATGAATGATTCTTGGATACAAACACAAATGTTAGCACATTATCTGTAAAATGGGGTAAATTATAGCCATCTTTGTGTTCTCCAAGGTTATTTGCTTGTGGTGTCCAAAACTTTTTATCAGTTTTACTTATGGATTCAAGGAATATTTCCCGGAAGCTTCATTATAATCCATCCACATATGGAGATTTTTTGTTGACAGTGAACCTTGACTTCAAATAGTTAATGTAAAGGTTTTAGATAAAAGATCTTGTACAGTATGTTAGTGCTCAGAATTTGTTCAAGTGTCCGTCATACCAAATTATACCTATACCTTTTATCGTACCAAATCATGGCTAACTGAGTTAATGCCATTTTATATGTTTTCATTATTAAGGTTTGTTGACTGTGGCAGCCATCTTCATTGGGATTACTCCAAAAAATAATAAGGTGATGTACATGCAAGGATTTACCAGTATATAATAACACTGATTTTGAGTGCTAGTAAACAATCATTACTAGTATGTTTTTGATACCATGCTAAAGGGTCCCTCTGTTCTACAGACTGATCCAAGAAAATTCTTTATAGGAGATTATAGACTTATTTTGTCAAAGAGGGAAGTTTTTGTCCTGTGGTTATGCATCTTCTAATTGATTTAAGAGCTGTGTTTTGCAACAGAGATGATATTGAGGTCAAAGTCCAACACGTATTACATGAAGACAGGTTATGTTCCCATAATCCCTACCCATATGCTGTTTGCTTTGTCAATGTAACCTCTGCTGGATCAAGATAGTGTCTTTAACCTTCTGTGTGCTGATGTGGTGCTGAAAGTATAAATGATAAACATGGTTTGGGATGAATGCAACACAAAGTCTCACCTCAACTGCTCTGAGCGAGTCTGCTGCTGTATACGATTGATCTTGTAGTCAATGGAAGCAATGCAAGCCCAAAAGAACTGCTGAATTTTTAACGCTGAGGCAGAATCTCAGGTTTTTTATCAAAGGAGAAAATAAATCTTTGAACCCCATTGCAGCTACTTGCTGTTACACACGTACACGCAAGTACGTCATCAGAGGTATAATATATATTGCTGCATTCAGTGGTGCTTTGTGTTGATAAAAAACATATTAGGGAATCTTTCCAGTGGCTGATTTGAAAACACCTGATAAGGAAGTTGTCCTTGTTTTTTATAAGCTGATTTTTTATGGCACATGGCCTCGAAGTGCTGATTTGTATTGGATGTAGTTAGGCGTATCTGCCTGCCCTGGGTTGCCTAATGTTTTTTGTGGATGTGTGTACTCATGAGATTATGTTTATCCCACTGGTATTGATTAATGCTGAGCATCTGTCAGGGTTCCATCTGATAGTGTTTGCTAACCCGCTCTTGTTGCTCTCCCTTTCTGCAGCAATAGAAACCCAGAGTACCAGTTCAGAGGAGATAGTGCCAAGCCCGCCCTCGCCTCCCCCGCCACCCCGCGTCTACAAGCCCTGCTTTGTGTGCCAGGACAAGTCCTCAGGGTACCACTATGGTGTCAGCGCCTGTGAAGGCTGCAAGGTAAGACTCCCGGCCTTCCTCTGAATCTGCCAAGCAAGCAACATTTTCATAAGTCTTACAACCTTCCTGTGATTTGCACCAGAGGGGAAAAAAAAACATATTCACATAGTTGAATGATGTTGATAGAAGACAAGTTTTTTTTGCTTTTGTTGTATATTTTTCAGGGTTTAATGCTTAATTTAGAAAAAGAAAAAAAGTCAGAATTGCTTTATGTGGAAAACGAGCGACTACCATTCTCACGTGATTTGTTGCGAGAAGCTTGCAGTGGCCTCCATCACCACCCATGCATTATGAAAGCAGATCTCTGTGTCATGGACATACCTCTTATCACAGACGGTATGTATAACTTCGTCGTCTGTGCAGTTTTTTTTTTTTTTCTTGGATGTCGTTGCTCCTCATATCAGCTTTGCTGACAAGTCCACATTGACCGTCTATTATCAATACGGCCCTGTTGCACAGGTGCTGAAGAGGCCATAGCCCCCATCTGCTCTGTTATCAGCTGAAAGTTGCCATGCACACATACATGTTCTCTTGTTGGTGTGAACACAGACTCCTTTATCTTGCTGCTTCCAAGGCAAAGGAGCCAGAGTTGTGTAAGCTCGAAGAAAGATGATGGGGAGGGATCTGTTAATGAAATGTTACTAGCTGATTTCAGCCTACTAGCTTTGTGATGGCAGTATTTCAGGAACTAATACTATAGTTGTTATTATCTGTACACAGTACCAACACTTCATAAGCTTTGTGTCACTGTTTATATCTTACCACCACTTTTCATAAACCTGCTGGTATGCAGGTTTCAGTTTCACCAATTGTCAGCTACAGCCAGATCTTCTAAACTTGGATTGTTACTGTGAGTAAACAGTTTATCTATTGGTTTGAGCTTTAAGTATTGCCCATACAAGATGTGACTGCTTAACATGAGAGTGGAGCAGCACGTCTAGGTTAGCGTTTGTGTAGTATTCCCATCTCATTTTAGAGGGAAACAACTCCTCTACTTTGACTGGCAGTGAATTAAACACTGAACTTTTTTGTGTTTGCTAAGAAAACTACTTCATGCAGGACTACAGCTGTCCTTTTATATTTTTAAATGGCTTGTTAGAAATATAAATATAAATATTGAATATTTCTGCTGATCCATCACCAACGTTGTAGAAAAACTTTGTCAACTTTTGGACACGTCATCAGATTGGATGAATGGCAGCACCCATTTTTAAACGGGTGCCACACTTTTTTTCAAAGATTGTTTAGTAAAAATGCGTTTGTTTTCCCGTTGCTGAAGTTTCTGACAAACTACAATGACATCAGCAAGATGGAGTAGAGCACTAGCAACTCTAGAGGGGAAGTGGAAATGCAAATAAAATGATTCAAAGACGGGAAAGAATGCAAGGAGTGACATGGATGAGGTGAAGGAGAAAATTGTGATTTGGGAGGAAGAATGGGGTGGGGGTGCAGTTGGAGGGGTCAGGAAGTTTAGGTGGACAGGGCATGGGGTCCAAGGCTGAGCTTACTGACACAGAGACTGTTTCAGAACATAAAGGTGTGGAGGGGAAGTGTAGGAAAAGATCGCTTAGTGGGAAAATCACAGAGCAGGATTGAATTTAGTCACCTTTTACAAATAATTCTTTAAGTGAACCATGAAACTTAACATACTGTACAAAATGCAATGCATCAGTCAACAAAGAAACCAGTCAAACTCTGTACATTTTAATTTTAATGAACAGCACTGGTGTATGAAACTGTAACACATACACATAAATGAGATGGAAAATACACCAAGGTGTCATCAGTATATTTTTGTACATTACATCTAGGGCTGGACGATATGGCCAAAACTTTTATCACGATATATTTCTTAATTTCGGTCGATAACAATATAATTCGATATCAATATAAACAATAGAAAAGTCTCAGAAAAACTGCACAAACTGTACAAATACATTAATGTTCACCTTTTATTTGTATTTAGCCTTAAAAAAAATTGAAATCACCATCAAATAAACATAAAATTCTCAACTTTGTCAACATTAATAGTTTTAACTTTAAACAACATAACACACACATCTTGCTGCATGTGTTTCTCTTGATGCAGCTGGGGGTGATGTTTCAGGGACACGCTGGCTCAAACTTTTATTGTGCTTCATCTTCTGACTCTCAGCATATTCTATCGAGTGGAACAAGTTAGATGTGTTCCCAGCGCTTGTTGGAACGGCTCTCCGTCACATTTTGCAGCACACTGACTGAAACCTGCAGTTTATCAGATCTTAGAACGCAGAACCACTTCCACACCGATGAATTAGTCTTTCTTCTCTTATCAGTGATGTCATCTGTTTTCTCTTCGCTTGTGAAAGTTTGTTCAGTCACATTCTGACGGTCATGGGAACTCATTTTGAAGCGAAAACTTAACGCGCGTTGGAGATTAGCCTAGCCTGCTACCGCTAACACCTTCTGGACTCGATCTGCATAACATCTACGTCACCACGCACTGACGTAGTTGTGTCGTGGCTTTTTCTGTCCGGGCTGAAACTGAAGTGTCCGCTTCAACCCGAGCAGAAAAAGCAATGCGTCAGTGAAACGCTTAAAACTCATATCATCGTTATTGAATAAAAGTGTATTGTGACATATATCAATATTGAATTATTGTCCAGCCCCATCATTCATTGTGACATGGAGAAATGAACCCTGAATACCTGAAAAGATGGGTATTTGATTCAGTAGGATATTATTTTATTGCACCATTATTGTAAAACAATATACAGTAGTCCCTCGCTACTTTGTTCGTTTATCGCGGATTCGCTGTATCGCGGTTTTTCAAAATAAGATTGGACATGACACACAATTGACTGATTGCTGGATGAGCCGCACGATCGACATGAATGTTTTATTTAAAATAAATTATATTAAACTATTTAGAACCTCCTGCGCCTCTGTGCAGCCCACACTGCAGGATAAACTTCCTCCTGCAGAGGATCAGCTGATCTGCGTGCAGAGAGGAGAAGTGGGCGTGGCCAAGTGAGCTTGCAGGTAGCTGAGAGGCACAGAGAGGGAAATCATGACATTCTGTGCTCTTTTAGAGCGTTTAGAGTTAAGAAACATTGTTTAAAATATTGCAAGAGTGTGGGAAGAGTTTAAAACACCTTCATTTCTATCTATATATAATTACTAAAATAAACTACTACTTACTACTTGTACTAATATTCCTACTTCGCGTTTTTTCACTTATCGCGGGGCTTCAGGTTACGGATCCCCCGCGATAAACGAGGGACTACCGTAACACTTAATTTTAAAACTATCATACAAGTGACTTAAAATGGAAAATGTAGTACGTTTGCCTGAACTTTGTTTAGTAACTGTGCTTCTGTAGCTATGGGTGTTCTGCTACTTTTAAATGAATTGGGATATTTATGAGATTATTTGCTGGAATTTATTCTTAAGCCTATTATTTGGCGCAGTGAGCAACTAAGCTAAATGCAAACTGTGTCATAGTTGTAGTCTTGTTTGTGTTTGCAGTTTCTCAATGTGTCAGTAGTGTGTGACATTGCCTTTGTTGCACATATATTGTCGAACAAGGTCTATTGCTTTGACTTTTGTAAATATTTCTTGTAATTACTTGTGACAATTTGTTATTCTAGCTGTGCAACTATTCCATTAGGCAGATCTATACCAATCCTGAGCAGCGTTGAGAAAGTGAGACGTTTTTGTGTACACTGAGGCTACAGGAGACATTTGAAATCAACAACAACAAAAAAAGGAAAACCGTCCTCCAGTTCAGCTCGTTCTTACCTGTGAGCCAACTTCCTTCCCACTCAATATCTGCAGCGCTAACTTAAAAAATTCAGGATGCCTTTACCGTATCTCTGACTTCAGAGAAGGCTCGGTATAGCATGCTCAATAATTCACGACTACAGGCATGTGAATGTATATAGTACCTCATCTGAGACTGGGGTAAGTTGGGGGTGAGCAGCGTCGGATTTGCTGCAGCATGCCAAACTACAAAGGCATTTCCTGGGGGCTGCAGTGAACTGAGGAAGCACGGGGCGCATGTGGAGCTCTGCTACTTGGAGACAGCTCATTCGCCTGTTGTTGAAGTTCTGCCGCTCGCACATACTTATGAGGAAGGCACTTTTTGCCTGCAGATATTAACACTTAAGCGTTAAATATGCATGCCCGCCCCCTCATGTTTATGTTTTTACCTTGAAGGCACAGCTGTGTGGAGGTTCCTACTACTCGCTGCAGTGCGAGAAAAGAAAAAAAAAACATTTCCAAAAATTTCTATTGATGCTTCTTACCCAGAAACCCCACGTTTGATATGTCACGTAGATGTTTTTGTTGTTTTTTTTAACCAAGCATATTTTTACTTTTATTTTTTCCTACAAAGGTGTGGTTTGCTGTATTAGCTTCTTGTTATAAGAGTCTGTGATAGGCACAGTGGCATACACACACACACACACACACACACGTGGACGCAGTAGGAGGCTGGGAATGCACTCTTAATCTGGAAACAGCAGGAAAGTCATGTAAGACAGAACTGCTGTGTTTCGCTGCGAACTCGACGGCCCCACACTCCTCCCTACTTAATATCACCACACAACTCTCAAAACTGCACCAGGCTCATAACTCACAGATCGTCAGTACTAAGATGAGGAGCACATGACAAATGTAACCGCAAATGTCTTGTTACAGCCATCCCTACACCCTTCCAGCCCCACGCTTCTCAGCGCTCTCACCTCCTGCGATCTCTGCAGGGTGGCTGACAGGCCCGCCGAGGGCTCTTGTCGCCGGTTGGATTAAGCGCTGATACAAAAAGAGGCTTAAGGACTGCAGGAAGCAATGACTCCAACAAAAAAAGAAGAAGAAGAAGAAAGAGGTGGGTGGGGAAGGGGCAGGGAGAACTGACTGGCCCACAAGCCGGCGGCAGCACCCAATCAGGAGATGCTACGAGGGGGCACCTGCGCCTCATGTATTTGGGAGGGAGAGGGTCAATCCCCTTATGACATCCAGGTCAGGGTCGGTCACGGCACTGTCGGATCAAAGCGGAGATGATATTCACGCACACAAAGAGCACAGACTAATCCTTTCGCATCAGCAGCCACAAATAAAATTAAAACTACGAGCCTTGTTGTCTTCACACTGTGCTAGGTGCTCGTCCGGTAGTCGCAGATAGAAAACTCTATTTTTCTGTGCCTGAAGTGATTCAAAAACACGTGTATGTTATTTTAACAGTGGACTCTTTTACTCTTCTTAAGCGTTTTTGTTGTGAAAACTGTCCGATGTAAAAATATTACTGAGAAACATGAGATTGATGGAGGTATAAGCTTTGAAACATACAGTCTTGTATATTTGACATTACAACGGGATGATGGTATTGCCTTGCTCAAACAGATGAGAACTTAGACAGTCCACACTTCCTTTTTATACTTCATCAAAAGTTGGATTCACTTCCACTCTGCGGTGGTGGATGGGAGATATGAAAGAAGGCTGGTGATCCGGGAAGGGCAAATTGCAGGCTTATGTTCACCAGCCATCTGTCGGCTAGAAGAGCTAATCCACCGGTGCTGGATAGGGCTGCCTCCATGTCTAATGGTTGCCATCCACCATCCTGCCCACCAAAACATCATCCACTGCCTTAACATCCATCCTGACACTGACCTGTACTGCAGTTGTCCACATCGCTGCTTGCTGAGCACTCACCCAGTTGATTTGCATTAACCTCTTTTTATCTTTTTGGCACACATAAAATGTTTAGGTGGTGGGACCGCAGGCGTTAAGGGTGATTTTTTTTTAAATTAGTCCCATGGTGTTAAGGAAAATATAAGTTGGAATGTAATCAACTGTTTTGTCATTGTTTTCTCAGACCTGGACAGGATTTGAACAGCTTCTAGAGTCCGATCAGAGGCAAATATTTGATTTAGTTTTGAGCATTTTTGAGCTTCTTGTTGCAGTTCTTGGAGAGAAAATCTAAATTATTACTGCGCCATGTGTTTTATCAGTATCAACGCTGAATATAAATAGTCAAGTCAAGTCAAATTTATTTATAAAGCACATTTAAAATCAGCAGCTGTTACCAAAGCAGTAAAAATCCATGGCAGAAATTTAATGAGAAATAAATAAATAAATAATTTAAAGCATACAAACACAAAGTAATAAAACTATATATAATAATCTATATATTTAATGTCAATATATTTTAAATGCAAATATTATGCTACAACAATATTTCGTTTAGGCTTGGTGAACAACAACAGACTATTTACTCGTTTAAGTCTTATAAAATCAAAGTAATTAAGGGGAATGGGGATTAACTGTATGGATCTAATGCTAAACTGGTTATATGACTTGTTTTAAACTTTCTGAAATAAGCTACATTTATTAATTGTCTCTTTTTGTCCCAAAAACCTTTAAAGGGTAAGTCTAGTGATGTTTTATCAAACAGTTGTCAATAGTTATAGCTTTGTAAGAGGTAAATGGACTGTACAGTAGTCCCTCTCTACATCTCGGTTTGTTTATTGCGGACACGCTCTATCGCGGTTTTTCAAAATAAGACTGGACATGACACACAATTGGCTGATTGATGGATGAGCCACATGATTGGCATGAAATTTTTATTTAAAATAATTTTTTTTAAATTGTTTAGCACCAGTTGCACCTTTTTGCAGCCCACAGCTGCAGAAAAAGCTTTCTCGTGCAGAGCAGAGAAGTGGGTGTGGCCGAGAGCGCTGGCAAGGTGGCTGAGAGCAGCGGAGGCAGAGAGCTGCAATCATGACATTCTGTGCTCTTTTAGAGCGTTTAGAGTTTAGAAACATTGTTAAGAATATTGCAAGAGTGTGGGTGTATATATATATATATATATATATATATATACTAAAATAAACAGCTACTTACTACATGTACTACTATTCCTACTTTGCGATTTTTCACTTATCGTGGGGCTTCAGGGTACGGATCCCCCGCGATAAATGAGGGACTACTGTACTTTTTTCCCACCTTTTTATTTCATCAAGCTACTCAAAGCTCTTTACAACACAATCTGTGTCCTCATTTACCCATTCATACAGCACTAGATCTGTACAAAGAATAATCAGTGATTTATCACATTCATACACCAGTGGGACACACATCGGAGGCAATGAGGGATTCAGTGTCTTGCCCAGGGGCACTTCAGCATGTGACTGCTGCTGGTGGAATTGAACCCCCAGCTCTTACATTGGAGGACGACTTCTCTAACCACTCAGCCACAGCCGCCCAAGGTGGCATCAGTCATAGAGCACAGAGTATAGAAAGAAGTCCAGAAGTCTTTGTTCAGGTTAATGGCTAACCAAGCAAGAGTCTGTATTTTATTGTTTTTCAGGCTTATACATAAACTCTTTCTCAAAAACAGCGTGTTTGTGTGAACGCTTGCTACAGTAGCTAATGTTAGATCTCCACACCATTTGTTCAGTTCATCGCGGTTTTCCTAATGGAACAACTCATACGTATGAGAAGTAGTTGTTCGGTTAAGAAAACGGCAACAAACTAAACAAAATGTGTCGCATAACTGTGTAAAGGTTTATTATAGCTAATGTAGCATTATTTACACCATTGTTTTATTTTAGAAAGAGTTGTTTATAAGCCTCAATAACAATTAAAAAAAGCACTTGCTTGGCTAGCCAACAGCGTAGACTGGACAAAGATGAGCAAAGACCAAACAAGTGATTTGTACTGATACTCAGGTGAGTCCTGGGAGATGTCAGTCCCTGCCGCCGGGGTAAATAGAGCGAACAGTATGTTACAAATTAAGCCCCTTAAGGACTTAACAGCTCAGTTCAGTGCCTTTTAACTGCAGCTTGGTGGTATATGTTTATTTTGCATGACCTTTTTTTTAAAGTGACTTTTTGGGCATTTCAAGCTATAAACGTTGAAACTACAGCGGAGAAACAATGCTATGTATGCGTTTGTGGCAAAGCAGAAACAAAAGTAGGCGATGAAAGAAATGAACTACGTATAAAAATTACTTTAGCCGCTTATGTCTTTACCTCTACAGTAGCATTCCTCTTAAACACCCATAACACTATTTCCTTCTTCGTTTTTGTCGTCACGCAGGGCTTCTTTCGGAGAAGCATCCAGAAGAACATGGTGTACACTTGTCACCGAGAGAAGAACTGCATCATCAACAAAGTCACCCGCAATCGCTGCCAGTACTGTCGGCTACAGAAGTGCCTGGAAGTCGGGATGTCTAAAGAGTGTAAGTATAAAATTCCACTTGCTGCCCGAGCCAAGCACAAGATCTCTTCCTGGCTCTCTAATCCTGAAGGGGGTTAGTTAGTGTGTTGTTGCTCCAGAAAGCCTCGTCTCAACAGCTAACGTTGCACAAGCAATCAGTGTTTGTTACTCGCTCATCTCAGCCCTGGCACAGATTCAGGTGGAAAATTTCATGCTGCGCTCATTGATCTGCCAGTTCAGTGTATGTGCTCCCACCGAAAACTTACAGGTTTTTTAACGTGAAAACGTTGGGACAGCTGGTGTTTTATCAAAATTAATGAGCATCCTAGCTGCTGATAATTCTTGTCGTATTTTAAATACAGCCTTGTATTGTTTGCAAGCGCTATTAAAGGCCTCGCATTCTTTTGAAGGAATACGTGTCACCTGCAGCTTTTCATGCCGGAGCTTTAGACTAACGTCACCTTGTGTTTAGAACTGAGAGGCGTAGCTGTTTCAAACATTTTGGTTGATGAGCTTCGTTTAGTTCAGAGATTTTCCTGGAAGACGGCCTCAGTTTATAATTGAGGGAAAGGGCTGCCGTGTTGCGGACTGGCAGCAACAGTCAGGGTGTCGCCAGGCTTGGCAGCCTCCTGTGATGAATATGTTCTCACCTGCAGAGAGTGAAAGAGCAGGCGTCTGCTCCCATCATCGCATCCTGGGGGGTATGGAGGGGTGTGTGTGAATACATATTCACATGAGTAGTCAGACTTGATAAAGTAATTGGTTGAGGTGTGACCACAAAGAGCTCAGAAGCCAGGAGGGGCTTTTACCTCCACCTGTCCACATGACTCGCTGTTTCCACATGCTCCACCACCAACGTGTGTGTGTGTGTGTGTGTGCATGGGGCACATTTGTTGTAGTAACTACTAATAAATGCCAAGTAAAAGTAAAAATCAATAGACACCAAGTGCACACACCTGTTTAAACACATGCATCCTCTGTTGCATTCTTCTTGTGCCTTCTGTCTTCTCGGCGCTGTTCACCTCATCTTTCTGCCACAGCGAGCGCACGGAGCACTCCCCACGCCACAGCACCGTGGCTTACAGTAAAAGAAGTTATCCTCTGAGCTCCTTACCTTTGAACGGGGCCATTAATCATGGGTAGATGGATCACAGCAGTCCTCCTTCACACACAGCTGAGGTGCACAGCAGAGGGCGGAGTTAGAGGGACACCTAGTGATCGTTGTGTGGTACTTCACAGGACATGCTTTTGTGAAGTGACTGGGAAATTTTAATGTAGGTTTATAGCTTCCCACTCTGCTTTGTTGAGCTGCTCCCCCTATTTTTTTATTTTTTGGTCAGTGGTAATTTTTGTGCAGAATGTGCAGATTGCTCGCCCTCTGGTCACAGAAGTGACTTTAGCCAACTAAGGTGGCCAAAGTGCCGGGGGAGCGGCTGACCATCTGGGCCCAGCAGGGCCTCTCTGTGCCTCCGACACTGACACTGGAAGTCACACACTCATCAGAACACCCCACTCATGCATAATTATGTGCTCATGCCAAAATTATGCGCATGCAAGGTGACGACACATAAGTGATATGAATAAGAAGGCATGTTTAGAGACACACCTCTCATCTTTGTGCCATACAGACACACACACACACAGAAGATGGACCCCCCCGGTAGTGCCAAAGGGCGTCTTGGTGACCTTGTGTCTGCTGGCAGGCAGCTCCAGACGACAGCGCCAGGACTGCTGCCAGGTGGCAGTGCCAAGCAAGACGGCATCAGAGGGAGGGGTGGTGCTCGGAAATGACTCTTAGCCCATTTATTATTACTCTTGCTAATTATGGACTAAACAAAGGTTGAATATTATAAAGTTTGTATGTGATTTATTCATATTTAGATGGTTCAGAAAGATTTGACTCATTTATGCACTTTTTTTTTAAATGTTTGCCAAGTGTGGAGACTTGTGTCTGCATCTTTGACTTTTTACTTCTTATGTCTCAAGTAGAGTTTAGGTTTAAATAAATTGAATATTTAGGCCCAATCTACACAGGAACAGTGTTTTGTGAATATTCTAGGGCAGGGCTATTCCACCAAACTGCTCAGGGGCCGGACATCCAGCAGTTATTCTCATTAAGTAAGTTTGTTTTATGATTTTAAATCAAGTTTTATTTAAAAATGAGCCCATAGGTGGGCCGAACTGAGCACAACCGTGGGCCTGATTCAGTCCCCAGGTTGCTAGTTGACTAGACCTGTGCAAGGGGTTCTTTTTATTGTTTCAGCTTTGTGTCCACATGGACGCCACGTTTTAGAAGGCCCAAAATGTTTTCAAACCATGATTCAAGGTGAAAACATTTTCCCACCTTGGTGTTTTTCTTTAGACTGCCAACACTTTTTGTAGGTGATACTAGTAGGCCTGTCACGATAATAAATTTTGTTGGGCTATTAATTGTCTCAGAAATTATTGCGATAAACGATAATATTGTTTAAAAGTTGACAATAATTAGTAATTGTTGTCAAATTTAAGAAGAAATGTGACTGTTTGAACCGAAGGATGGATAGCGAGGGAGTGAGCAGCGTGTCTCTTTAAGAAAAATGAGAGGGAGGCCCCTTGATGTGACATGGGCTGTCTCTCCCTCCTTTTTTTTTTTTTACAGTTCTCAAAATGGCGGACGCTCGGTGTGGTTTGAGCTCTAGCGTAGCGTTTGTCACACAAAGCTTTTAATTTAAAAAAAAGTCAGTAAACAAGTTCTCAGCTTCTTTATGCAGAGAAAAACAACGTGCATTTTGGAGCTTCAACAAGACGGAGGTTTTATACCCTGTGTCGACCTGTTAGCTTAGCTCATAGCTTAGCTGCCTTTAATGATCCAAAAACGCGATTTTGGATCATTAAAACAGATTTTAAAGAGAAAAGTCCCACGTTTTGTCTTAGCTATGATCCTAAGCACGACTCACGTAACGACGACAGATTACATGCTTAACGTTTGTGTTGCAGATAGTTGCTCAGCATGAGCAAAACCATCACAAACCGTATTACTCCACTGAGCAAAGTCTGACACACAATAACATTGCCTCAAATCGATCAGATTCTTATTACACCAAATGATCTACAGGCAGGTTTTCAATCACTTCTTGGAGCTGTCAGCTCTCCTAAAGTGGCTGCACAAAACTACAATAAATATATCAAGAATGCATTTTGAATACTCTGTCCAGCTGTTACTCACTGGATATTAGGCCTGAAACCATCCAGTATGTCACTTGTTTGGGCATAACTGTCCTGCACTGTTGTAGTTTTGTAGTTTAACGTGATAAACTACAAAGATGTTCCACTTCATCATTAGTCCATGCAAAGCTTTTGCTGTTTTCATGTTTTTCTTCAGTTTGTGTAAGGTTTATACACACGCTCCACGCCTTGTTTCCTGTTTCTAATGTATTTTCATGGCAGGATATTTTAAGGATATTTTTAGAAACGACAAAAAAAAAAAAAGATTTTAAAAAGTTTTTTGTTTGTTTTTGTGGGAATGACAGCATTTATGTGTGGATAAATCACCAAATGGAGGACTGTACCAAATGATTTATTTGTACCCAAATCAGTTGTTAGATTTCAGTAAAAATCATTTTTTTCGGTGCCGAGTGGCGTCAGCCTGCAGACGTGCAATAAAACAACACTGAGTTAAAAAGTCTGTATGGCTGTTACTGAAAGAGAAAAGCGGAGAAAGAAACTCCAAACTCTTCTTCATTCTTCTCATGGAGAGTTGAAAACCCATCTGTCTTGTTCAGAGACGGAGGCGATTAGGAAAACCTGCAATGTAAAACATCACTTCAAAATTAAACGCAAATTAATTGAGCAAGAGTTGACACTAAAATCTAACCCGAGGGCACAAAAAATAAATGATCTTTCAATCCAGTGTGCAGACTTTGCAGAATTTAATTACAAACCTCTGATTTAGAGTATAGGATGGGTTTGCTTAAAATGTGAGGAACTCTAAGAAATCGAGTTGTTTGTTAAAATATTTAGATTAAAGGCTGCATTTATATCACAAATTAATTTTGGTAAATTTATTCTCTAAACTTAGTACATTTTAATTCTTGTGTATAGTATAGTCTCTCGATACTTCGCGGTTTGTTTTTCGCAGACTCGCTCCATCGCAGGTTTTTTAAGTAAGATTGGACATGACACACAAATGGCAGATTGATGAATGAGCCGCAAGATCTGAATTATTATTTTATTTTAAATAAACTATTTTAAATTATTTAGCTCCTGCTGCACCTGTATGCCGCCCACAGCTGCCCTCCTGCAGCCTGTCATGATCTCTGCTCTGCAGCAGAGAAGTGGGCGTGGCCAAGAGCAGTGGCAGAATCACGTCATGCTGTGCTCTTTTAGAGTGTTTAGAGTTTAGAAACATTGTTTAGAATATTGTAAGTGTGGGAAGGGTTTAAAACACACACACACACACACACATATATATAAATACCGTATTTTCTGCCGTACACATTGCACCGTATAAGCTGCATCAGTCCAAATACGTCTAATAAAGTGGAAAATTCCATAAATATGTCACTTCGCCGTATAAGTTGCATCTATTATGTGTCACCACTGACAACTCGGAAATGTGGACCGTGTTGTGCCAAAAATTGATTGGCTGCCAAATGGCGACTGCAGGAGCGTGCACGGGAGGGTTTGTTAAATATTTAACAAGATTAACACTTAAAAACGATTATTTGTTTGCTTGAAATTATAGTAAAGGTGTGTCTCAGTTTAACTTTTACTTAATAAATGCACTTTAATGGTCAAATTATCTGCATTTCACCGGGGCTGACTTGACGGTTGCTCCAGGCGAGCTGGATGAAGGTGGCAGACTGTGGCAAGCCGATTGTGTCATTAATAGCTATGTTTACCTATTACATGACATAACAGCATGCCATACTGCTCGAGTGCCATCTAGTGGCTGAAAATGGTAGTGTTCAATATTTTCAATGTTAGAATGAATGAAAACGGTCATATCTCAGGCAAAAATTTGTTTATAAATATGGCACAAAAATCCATAAATACATTTTTTTTGGAGTATAAGTTGCAGTGCGTGCAAATTATGCAAAAAAAACATGACTTATAGGCGG